ACATCCGTTAAAATTGGAACGATACAGAGAAGATTAGCATGGCCCCTGCGCAAGGATGACACGCATAAATCGAGAAATGGTCCAAATTTAAAATTAAAAAAAAAGAAATACAGACCTGACTTCGAATCCAGATGCAACCAAAATGACCAAGATAATCGTTCTGAATTAGCTGGGGCCGATCATGCAGGTCAGTGATGATATCCAAATGCCCCGTCGCCGTTTTAAAAAAGGGAAAAAAGAAAAAAAAAAGGAGGATAGATTACCAAGGAAGGCAAAACTGCTATGGTGGAGGGTAGCAGTGTTGTGGGTCAGTGATGATATCCAAAGGCCGTCGCCGTTTCAAAAAAGGAAAAAAAAAAAAAAAAAAAAGGAGGCGGCTAGATTACCAAGGAAGGCAATATACTGATATGGTGGAGGGTAGCAGTGTTGTGGTCAGCAATGGACTCTCCTATGTTGTGTTGGGCCTTCTGAACATGTCCTACCGGTCGGGCTGGTGGACAGTTAATCCTTCCGCTCTGGAAGCAATCAATGCTTGTAGCCGTGTGTTTACATGCAGTAACTATGGTAGTTACTGCTTACATGCAGTAAATATGGTAGTTACTGCTTACATGCAGTAACTATGGTTAAGAGAGGTTGGGCCTTCTGTGTGAAAACCTGTCTGTGTGAAGTTGCGGCAGCGGTAACTTAGTAACTACTATGGTTAACTCAGGCGTGAGGGGGGGAAGCCTGGGTGTGTAAATGTTTTGTTACTGCCGGTTAACTCAGGCGTGAGGGGGGGAAGCCTGGGTGTGTAAATGTTTTGTTACTGCCGGTTGTGGGGAGCCGGACTGCTGCTCCTCATAATGACAAGGGGCGAGTCTTTTTTGTTAAAACAATAGTAAAATATGAAATGATGGATGATGGATCCTGTGAATCGACGGTCCTGATCACCGCATGGAATGGATCTTGTGAATCTCTTATTATACCTGACAACCTCTCGCTCCGTAGGGTCCAGCTCCTCTTCATCAGCATCGTTAACTGGGATGGACTTCACGTATCCTTCATACCGATTAGCGAATCCCCCGTACAAGTCGGTATCAAAGCCGCCGGCCACACTCAGGGCCGCCAATTCTTCCGCCTTCCTCCTCTCCGCCTGTACTCGCGCAATATCCGAGTCGATCTCCATGGCTTCCCCCTCTCCCCAATGCTCTCCAGGTAAGTGAAAATTCCCCGCCTTCCCTCCCCTCCCCCTCCCCTCTCCCCTCAACTCACCTCCCCCTCGCCTCAACTCACCTCCCCCCGCCTCCCCTCGCCTCGGTCACTCGCTCCGGTCCGCGAATCGATTGAATGAAAACTACGTCTCGGTTTGGCGGAGGGCCTCCTGCTCAAAAGGGAATTAGCGCTTCGCAAAATATCTCTCGCCCCACTCCCATAAAGACGAGGCAGCGAGATTTTCAAATCGACGCGCAGAAACTGTTCCAATCACACGGCCCCAGAGTCAGTAAACAGACAACATCCTACCTGTTGCGGCTCCGCCCGCAAAAAAAACATGGAAATTTTGCAAACGAAAGCACAGAGCATAAGGGCTGTGGTGGCCTGAATGCAGTTGGTTACACACACACACACACACAACACACACACACACACACACACACACACACACACACACACACACACACACACACCTTTCTGTTCTTTTCCTCACTTAAATTTGGATCGATCGATGCAGAGCAGATTAGCGGGCATAACACGCATGAAACGTGCTCTTCATCTTCATGCTCTTCCTCCCCC